GATCGATCTGTGGAACTCCATATGAGCGGTGGTTCGGGAAGAAGCTCAATCTCGGACACATTCAGCGGTTTGGTGTGGATGCATACTGCCATCGACCAAACGCAATGCGAGGTAAACTGGATCTGAAGGCTGTCAAGTTCGTCGGATACAGCGAAGTATCGTCCACCTGGTGGACGAGACAACAAGAAAGGTAAGTATTAGCCGTGATGTGAAATGTCTTACTACTTGTGGTACCGCGCAAGGGTCGATGGAAGAAAGCCTGGTTGTGAACCCAGTAAATAAGCAAGAATTAACCGAATCTGATGGCGACGATGTCTGGGATGATCCAGATGAATAACCGTACGAAGAAAGTGTCCGTCATGTGTGGATGCCAATACACCTCGGAGATCAACAAGATCAAATCTTGGATCTATTCCAAAGCGTTATGCTTGTACAACAGAAACTTCGGCTCAGGAGGAGCCGAAATCATGTAAGCAAGCGTCATCTAGTCCAGAGAAAAGTTTGTACGGGCTTAAGCAAGCGGCCCGTTCTTGGAACCAGCGACTGTATGACGTATTGGAAGCGGATGGATTTGAGCGGTGTGATGCAGATCCCTGCCTGTACAGAAAGCGAGTTAGTACCAAGTGGTGCTGCGTACTCGTATCCGTGGATGATCTCATCGTAGCGAGCGACGATGAACGGATGATCGATGTATTGAAGCGAACTCTGGGAGACAATTCTGCCTCGGTGACGTCATGTTTTACCTTGAAATCGAAGTCGATCGGGACCATAGTGGAGATTTCCCTGTCTGTTCTGTTAGTCTACAGGATGGAAAAATGTCAACCGTGCCGATTGATCGTGGATACATCAAGACAAAAGATAACGAAGACCAGCTCCCAAATAATCAAAAATATCAGAAGGTAATCTCGATCTTGAATCGTAAGGTGAGTTGTCCAACCAAACGTGACTGGAACGAGCTGAAGCGAATGGTTCACCACTTGAAGGGGACGATTAATCAGAAGCTCGACTGAGCAGCAGTGATGATTCTTCTGGTCTGGTTGGTTACACCGATGCCGATTGGGCAGAATGTCGCAACGATCGGAAGTCTAATAGTGGATGTGTATTCAAATACTGCGGAGGAACCATTAACGAAAGCAAACCTGTGTCTCTCTATCCACAGCAGAAACAGAATTCGTAGCTCTTTCTGAAGCATCTGAAGAAGTGGTTTGACTGCAGAGACTGTTGGAGGACCTAGGTGAGAAAACAGAAGTTATGCTATTCGAGGACAACCAAAGCTGTTTGAAGATGTTCGACTCCGAAAAGATCAGTAACCGCACGAAACACATTGCCACGAAGTTCCGCTACTCCAAGGACCTGAAGACAAAAAGGTGTTATCAGTATGAGACTGCGGATCTTCTGACGAAACGTCAAGCACGTATACGGTTGGAATTACTTCGGAAGCAATGTGGTCTACAGTGACAGCGTTGAGGAGGAGTTTCGAGTATATGCAACGGAGCATGCCTTGACTTTACAGCACAAATCAATTTCTTCAGTTTCAATTATACTGCCAACTAACAAACACATAAGTTTTAATTGTAATTTGAGTTAGTCATTCAAAATGCAGTCCGATCCTTCCCATTTCTGCCGATATGCCGATACTCAATACTCAATTCTCAATTAACCATTATGTCAAGCTTCTGTATTCATTTTTAGGGCTGTTACAAGAGCTTTAAACTTAGAACCGCGAAATCTGCAATTTCTAGATTTGCAAAAGCGGCATAGCTTTTCTGAAGCAGTACTTAAATCTTTAAACCTGTTTATCTCCGGAAATATGGCCTTAATCGCGACTTGAGGGGTGTATAGTGTTTCAAATCTTAAAAACCCATTTATCTCCACAAACAAAGCCTAAATCGCGGTGTTTGTTGTTGGTCACAGGCTAGAGCCGAATAAGATGGTTTTTGGTGGTTAATATTTCACTTCTTGAACTTCTTTGAACTTCACGTGACGTGCTGAATGTATGGTCCCTAGTGGTAGTTTCGAAGCCATTCCGATTTGCTTTTCCCGGTATAACAACCGGATAGCTTAAATTTGTTTTTTTTTCACCATGGTGGCTAGAAATTTCCACGCTTCAACACTTGCGCTTCAAGAAAAAGCTCAACCACAGCAACTGAATGGCGATGAAAATGATAAATTTCCCGGGAAAAAGGAACCCAATCTTGTGGCTGTTGTTGTTGTTGTTGTTGTTATTAAACGGGGAAGCCGTCGGAAACGAGAAACCTGCGTGCAACCAGCTTCCCACCACCACAGCTGAGAGGGAAAGTTTGGCTGTTGGAAAACAGAAAACTCGCATAAAATTACAAGCGACCACAGCGGGAAACAACAACAAGGGCATTATTATGTACCGGCAAGTGGTAAAGTGGGAAGTTGAAATTCAAAGACGAAAGCGAAAAAAATACAGGAGATTTCTTCCTGTGATCAGAGCTATTTTTTTGTCGGCGAAGAAGACGTCAAGATTTACGGGTACAGTGTGTAATGTTTCAGTTTTCGATTGAGGACTTTAAACTTTTCCCATTCTCGTGGCTGCAGCCGTGAGACTTTTGGAAGATTTCTTCAGAAATCCTATTCAAAGTTCGCTTTTTCGAATCGTTAAAAGTTTTCTATCGCATTTTGTACGGAGAAACTTTTAGAAAACCGTTGTTCGGATTCCCAAATGGGTGTTTTGGGGAATCCGTTCCAAGCTGGTTGGTTATTGATACGAGAAAATAAATGAATCTCTTTTGGAAGCCATAACGATTTGAATGCTATTTTAATGAAGGTAAACATTAACTCGTCATGCATAGATAGGCGGAGCAAACTATCAATAGGGTTGTTTAACTTCGAAAAAATGTACAGATTTTTACACATCATCTGATAGAGCTTTGTTTTCTGAACACAACGATATTTTTATCGATCCTGTAGACATTCATCTCGATTATTCATCAATATTTAAATTTTTGATTGTTGACACTAAATCTATTCGTTGTCAGCTCGCTCCCATACAAAGTTCCACCAAGGGGCGCTAAGATGGTGATTTTTGCTAATGTAATCGTACTTAATTAAAATAGTTCCAGTATACCAAAATTGACGAAATTTTGGATTTCGGTTCCATTTTTAATGCAGATAACGAATATGTATTTATATTATATGTAATATGTATATGGGGAAACAACCCAATTAACAACTGTGAATTGCGTTACTGTAGTACGTTTGTTTATTTTGTTATTGCAAATCTTAGGCTGTGTTCCAATTGGAGAATTTTCACTTAAACTTGACAGATTAGATATTATTTCCCCTCCGTTGAATCATTCAGGCGTCTAAAATAAGTTTTTCGTGGTACGATTGAACTTTTGCTTGGTCGGCTTTATCGGAAGATTGATTTGCTTGGGATGCTTTTTGGTACCGTGCCGCTGGTCAGTGTCCCCGTGTCCGTTCCTCGCATCGATCGAAAGTTGGTATCCGGATTTATACTCTATCATCCGGCAATTTGTACTACGCAAGCAATATTTTCATCACATTATTGGTTTGATAATCGACATTCACTTTTAGTTTCTTCAAAAATGACCAAGTGTCTTCACTAATAGCGTTTACTCCAGCACCATAATCAATCATCCAGTTAAGCATTACGCTTCCTACCTCAAATGTTACCGGATCATCGTTATCTGGACTCATGGCAAAGACATAATATATCATCAACTTGATGCACCTTATACTCCTGCGGTTCTTTCCTCTCCTAATCGCTTTTTTCTCCTTCGAATCCTTCGTTTTCGTTTTGCAGCATCTCTTGAAATGGCCAACAAGATTGCACTTCACGCACTTTTTATCGCGAGCTGAGCATTCACTGTCGTTGGCGTAGTAGACCACTGTGACCGCACATTCTCCTTTTGATCCTGATGCAATCCGATTCACTTCCTCACATTTCACCAGATTCTTCCGATGTTTGGCTATCGTCTCCAATGATCTTCCGAGTTCCACGGTCTGCGTCAGAGTCAGCTTTTATTTCGTCAAAATGTTCGCCCTCAGTTCATCAGAATTCCCTTTCTCAAACCAGTCGCCGTAGTCACAAAGATTTCCTTGCTCGCGAAGACGCAGAACGAACTTCTCGATTGATTCAACCGGAGCTTGCTCGAGATTCCTGAAGATGTGACGTTCGCGTGGTAGACATTTTAGCGGCAGGAAGTAGTTGTCCAACAGTTTCACCGATTCCGCGTACAAATCGGACCCCTCGGGAATTTCCACTTCAGCATCTCCTCTTAGGTTAAAGAAAATATCTTGTACATCGCTTCCACCATAGTAAAGCAGATAGGACCGCTTGCTTGAGGGTATCGGAACGTTGTTGACATCCAAAAATATCTCGAAGCACCGCTTCCACTATTTCCAACGATTCGAAACTGTTGATGTGTCAGTTGGATGAAACTGTGGCAAATTAGAACTTCGAATACATTGCTCCGCTGACCGAATTTAATCAAACACCGCATTGAAATTTCAATCCGAGGCATTGGCCATCCTCGTCGCCAAATGTTACCTCCGTAAATTGGTTTCGGAAACGAATTAAATAATTGCAAATGCGACTTCTCTGATAGACTGTTTACTATCCTCTAACCCAAGGTGGCTACATATAGGTGTTCTAATGTGTCAAATTCGTGATTCAGCCATGTTGGATTTTTGTATGGGACAGCGACCGAGTTTGTTTACAATTTGCTCTAAAACCGCATTTTTCCCCCCCGCGACCTCCTCGCCTATATAGTGACAAAGCTGTATCACCATTTATATACCCACCATGCTCTAACCTTCCATACCAGTTCTTGTTTTTCTCCCTTCCACTACGGCCCGTGCTGCCAACTTATTTTCTGAATATAACAGTTCGGCAGTTCGTATCCAGATTAATCGTTTGTATCACTATTAATTCCAACAACAATTGATGGAGTTTATTCCGCAAAAATCAAAACAACTGCTAATTAGAAACGTCTTTTGGCGCTTTTCAGGTGGACTCTTCGATGGCGACACCGACGATGCGATGCTCGCTTTCCAATACGCCGTGGAGGCGGTCAACAACGAAAAGCTAGCCTATTCGAACTACCGGCTGGAGGCGCACCCGATGACGGTCAAATACGGCGATCAGTTTGACGCGTCCAAAAAGCTGTGCCGGTTGTTGAAG